TTTAAACTTTTTTATATTTTTTAGATGTGTCTTTATAAGATTCTTATTGACTTTCTAATCCATATCCATCAAATATATATATCAAATGATAATATCCTCTTTGGTTTTAAATTCTTGAAAGATTCTTATATCCAAGTTTCTTTTTGTTTTTTGTGGATAGTTAAAAATGTTATAGATTAGATAGCAAAGTTATCTTCCTTTTGATTAACTTTTATTATATACCTTATAATATCTTCTTTCTCTTGTATCCAAAAAACTAACAATTTATTTTTATTAATAAACTTTTTTTTCAACAGGTTTCTTTTTTTTTTATAGAAATTTAAGGATATTACCTAGATATACCTTAGTTTTATTTTTTGTTTTTCCTGAAATATTGGTTATTATTGCATCTAATTTATAGGTTTCTTTTTTTTTTTATGAAATAAGAATTTATTAATAATACCATATCTTTATTCCTAGTAGTATAAGAGATATGTTTACTAATACATTGTTTTTTGATTATTTCTTAAAGTTTTTGTAATTCTAATTTTTTTATCTCCTACATACTGTATATGTCATTATTAGTTTATTGTCTACTATTGATTTATTATCTGTTTGTTTAATGATCTTCATTAATTGTCCCTTTAATTTATATTAGTTTTTAGGATTCTTGATAATTTCCATGAACTTGTCTTCAATGTAGGGTTGTAGGTAATAATGGATTCTTAAAGTATTTGACATATAAAATTTCCCAGATCACTTATGTTTCTTTTTAAGGAACAAAATTTATAGCTTTTTATTTTAATAAAAACAAAAGTTAGAAAATATTATAAATCAATAATTTGAATAATGGAGAACAATTGTAAATAGTTTTTTTATAGTTATTAATTTAAAAATTTTAATGTTACTTAATAAGAAACATTTGATTTTTGTCTCTGCCTTTTTCTTTAGGAACCTATCTTTAGTTGTAAGAGATCTTTTTTTATCTTTCTATCTTGTTGTCAAAAATATATAATATGTTGAGTTAGAATTTGTTCTTTGTAAAAAATTGTCATATTAACTTCTAATATATTGGCTATAATACTATCTAAGATAGTATATATTTCTAATAATGAGATTACTGATTCATTGGATTTACTATTTATTTATTATAATAATTGTTATGAGGCCCATAGAATAGAGTGTTTGTCATATTTTATTGAAAGGTTGATTATAGTATTTACTATATTCTTTTCTTTTTTTTTTTTTTTAAAAAAAAAATCTATAGTTAGGTTAGCATAGTATACTTATTAATCTTTAAGAAAATTGATAGAAATATATTGAGCAATTATATCATGATTAAAATAAATCTTATGCTGACTCACTTATTAATAACTTTCTAATTTTAAATAAGCTTAAGTCTTTAAGTATAATCTTGGGAACAATATTTCATTCTGAAATAAGTTTTAAGAATTTATTTTTTAATAAAGTAAATTCTTTAAAAAATATAATTAGAATATAAAAAAATAAGTAAGTAAAAATATAAAATTTTTCAAAAAGAAAGCCAAGGTTTTTAGGTTTTTATTTTAATTAAACAAAGTTTTAAAAAAATTTTTTTATTCTAATTAATTAAATTTTATTATAATGTAATACTAGTATTGATATAATATAATAAACAATTTTATATATTAATAGAAAGATAAGTTCTTTTTAAAGTTTTTTTATTTAAAAATATTTAAGTTTTTTAGATAATTAAAGTTAAAAAATATTTTAATTAAACAAATTACTTTTTAAAGAAAACTACTTATTTAAATAAAAAATTTTGAAAAAATATTAAATTAAAGGATTTTTTTTTTTTTTAATATAACAATATAATAATATAACAATTTATTGTTTTTTAAAATAATTTTTTAGTTATAAACTATAAATAATAATCCTAATAGATAATAATTCTAGTATCAATTTATTAAAAAAATAAATTATAATTTTTTAAATTTAATTTAGAAGACTTAATTATATAAGATGTTGTTTGATTTAATTTGAACCAATTTAATATTTTTTTTATGTAATGTAATTTTTAATTAATAATATATAAAAATAAGTTAATTATTATATGAAAGTTTATATAATATTATAGATATTTTTTTTTTATACTGTATTTCAATAAAGACATGTCATAATAATATAATTATAGATATAAAAAAATTATAATAATATAAAAATTTAATAAATAATTAATAATTATTATTTTAGTTTAAATATATTAACTAAGAATTATAGATAAAATAATTTTTAAAAATATATTTTTTCATTTTTAATATTATTTCTTTAAATTCTATAATTTAAAAAAATATAATTAAATATGATGTGATATATTAAAATTTTTAAAATTTTTAAACATAATAATTTATTATATTATATTATTATATATTATTTTTTTCTTATTAATAATAGTTGCAAAGTTTTATTTTCAAAAAAAAAAAAATTTTCGTTTTTTATCAAGTTTACATGGATTTTTTACTTTATAAAAAAAATGAATTTAATAAATTATTTGATAAAAATTGTTTAATAGATATTTACAGTAATTAAATAAATAAAAATTTCTATTCTTATTAACTACTTTATAACATCAAAGTATTTTTTTTAAAAAAAATTAATATTTAATAAACGTAATTAAGGTTTGCTATTTAAAAAATTTATTTAATTGATAGTTAATAAAAAATATAAAAATGAAAAGATTAAAATTTTTATTTTTAATTTATACCTAATACTGTATATCGTATAATGTTTTTTAAGATTTATATCTTTTTCAGGTTGTAATATATATCATAAAATAGTGCATATTAATTTAAAATTGTTTATGATTGAATGATAAAATGATATTGTAAATAATTAAATTTAATAAAACCAAAAAATAATTGATGACATTTTTCAATACATTAAATGATAGATACAGTATGATCTGTCAATTTATTATATATGACATACAGTATTTCTTAAATGACATCCTAAATCGCTAAATCACAAATCACAAATCACATTTGGATTTAACTTTTTTAGCAAATCTTTAACCTATATAAATTTATTATAATTGATTTGATGAGCACATGACTGAACGCTTAATTGGTAAATGTGATAGACTCGATGGACTGGGCTGGCTGATGATCGCACACTGAGAAGTGTCAAAAGTTCTCGGTTAACAGGTCGCTGGAATATTAATCCACATTCCGTGATGTCCAAGGGAATTATTGTTTTTAGAAAGCAAATAAATAAATAAATGGATAAGTATTAAATAAATAAATAAAATTCATACAAGCGAGCCGGAAGCAGACTTATTTATACGGGAAAATGGAAATCAAAACTTACAGAGGAAAGCGGCATATTTGATTACACAAATTGCACGGGAGAATGGAAAAGAATTTTCATGTAAACCCTATACACAGTATTGTACAGTGTGTGGGCCGTTAAAGACGTACGTAAGTTGCAAACTTAATCATTTTTATTAAATATAAATGGAAATGAAAAACTGATTTATATTAAAACAAAAAGACATCTTCATTAGGCAAAAAGAAATGCGGTTTTAGATATTTGCCGATACGTGTAGTGTGTATGCAATGTATGTATGTACAGTATGTGGAAATTAGAGTATTTGGATTTTAAAAAGAATCGTTTGCTGGTTATAACAAGTTACATGATACTTCTGAGACGCATTCACCACATTACTCGGTAAAGTTGGGGACACAATTTTCGAAATAAAATGAATACAAATCGAACCTAGAGCCATCTTTTAGAAAAAAAAAAAAAAATTTTTTTTTTTTGTTTTTCTTTTTTTTTAGAATAAACGAAGAGCGTAGTTGACATCGTGATTGTTCGACTGGTGTATCTTTCACGGTTTTCCCATTCGCTCTAACCAAATCCGCCGACAATAATGCACACACTGCAGTATAAGGTCGACGAACAATAGAAGATCGACCACCAATTCTGAACAATAGAAAAACTTTATCCTTATTTTTTTTCGCGGATGCCTAAAGAGAAAGGAATACGGGTGAGAGGAATCAGGTGAAATGTGATCTTTCGACTTCCTCACCGGTGATCCTTCACTCTACGCAGTTTTAGGCAGTCAACTTTTACCTTCTTAACGTAAGGGTCTGATCTTGTCTCGTTTTTTGATTACGCAAGGTTTATCATGCATACGTGCATACATACATATTGTTGAGCCACCAAAGCGATAGGCTTGCGCTGTTCGTATTACGTTATCACGACGCACTCACATCCGTAAAAAGCACATACACAAGTATTTAGGGTCTTCGCATTGAGATATATTTCACTGTATTGTTCAATGGTGTACGATGACCTCATAAACAATTCGCCCCTTCCATTGTTTTCAAGTGAACGGCGATGCAAAGAATAAGAATCGAAGTCATTGCGGCAATTCGGGCTTGACATTTCAATCTCATGATTTTTTTTCTTTTTTTCTTTTTTTCTACACCGCCCATGGCTTAGACCCATTCACATCTAGATGCTTGGTTTCCACAAATGAACCTATTGATGGTCGGCGTTCTACAGTGAAGATGAAAGAGCAAAATTCAATCGTCCGTGACACCTTTAATACTATTATTTTCATTATTCACGCACACCCTTTTGTGCCGAAGGCGCCTACCTCCGAAATTACACTGCGCATTGTAATCTCTGTCCGTATGGGACGTGGTTAGAGCGAGTGATCCGTTATTTTATCAGTGCCCTATGTTCTCGTGTTGTGTGACACGTATTACCATTAAATGTTCTGGGCAACGCATCCAATATCGGAAAACAAAAGGGGATTGGTGATATTTATTGTTGTTGTTTGCTAGTGTGGCAATTAAATTGGGTCATGTGAAAAAATTAACGTTAAACGTTAATCATTAGTCGCGCGCACAAAAAGCAAACACTTTCTTCTCTCTCTCTCCTCCCTCCTTTCTTTAAAAAAAAAAAGGTTCACAACGGTCATCGTGCGTGCACGACATTTCTTGGTGTGATAGGCGATGTGATTGTGTGCGTTCGCCTTACTGGAGTTGCACACTATCCACCGAGTGCAATTGGATGGTGTGACGCGTATTCAGAGTCTGGTGGTTGCGTGCGTGAACCTAACCACAATCCTCACTGGTTGCGAAGATACCTGCCAGATACGTGATAGTGATAGATCGTGTGATGGACCAATGGTGCCAGGATTAAATTGGCCCGACATTCTCTGCGAGAATGGAAGGTTTGCTGAGAAAGGAGTCGTTGGTCTAAGAAAAGTTTTCCTACATTATGTGCGTAGTATGTGCGATGCGTACAGTAGGTGCGTACGCACAAAAGAATAATAATGGGGTGCTGCATATTCTATCTATCAGATTTATCGGATACGCGAGTGAGGTGAACATGTAAAGAATGCACAAGTATGCAAGAATATCAAGGGTACCATGATAACGTCGCCGCTCATTCGAGCGTAATATTCATCTTGAAACTTGTGCACACTAAGTAAGTTAATGAACATATACAGTATTTACAGTATACTGTATATACTATTTTAATACTTGGGCCACCGCTATACATATCGTGTGCCAAAATAAGGTAATGACTTACCTGGGCATGGCTAATTGTAGAAGTTGTTGTGATGTCCTCCTTTTAATTAAATTGATCACCACCACCCACAAATTTATTACCTCATATTAAAAGGAAGAAGAAAAAGTGTTGTTGCCGTCAATGCATTATCGTGACAAGATTCGTATTTTTTAGTATCTGGTACCACTCCGATTTGATTGCAACCGACCGTCACACAGAACAATAGCTGTGGTAATACGGTAATGTGCGTAGGTGATGATAAATTAAACGACCGTTTTTCCGTGACTCGCACTCTCCCTTTGTTCCGTGATACGTATGTACGCTAGCATGCATTGCGCGCGAACACAAACACCATTTCTCGTATTCATTTTGTCACCTCATTTTGGGTTTAGACCGTTCACCCACCTACAACCTATCATTACACCATCTACGCGCACCCCACATCCACAACATCCTATCATCATTCACGTTCGCATTCACATCCTGTCATCATTCACACCTGCCATCATCGTCATCCTATCATCACCTCTCTCCCTCCCACCCTTAAAAACACTCACCCATGAGTCTGCCATTTGCCATTGCATAAATTGCCGATTGAAAACTTCAGCTATTATCTTTTAGATGCGATGGTAGTGGCATTCGGGTCGTGTGTCTACGTTAAATCATACCACAAATCAAGTTAAAATCATGTTTTTGATTCCAATTTGTTTACTCCAAAAGCATGCACAGTAGATAATACATATGATCAAATATATTATATCACCGCTATTTTGACTTAAATATGTCGTATGGTAGAATAACTAGATTTTTTCTTTCTTTTTCTTTTCCCCACAAAGGGAGGACCCTTTTTTTCCCTACTCCAAAAATCCCAAAAAAAAAAAAGAGAAAAAAAAAAAAAAAAAAAAAAAAAAGAAAGAAAAAAAAAGAAAAATACATGCATATATAAATATTATCTATAAAAAAAAAAAATTTTTTTTTACACACAGTCTTCTTCTGTCGTCTTCGTTCAATTAAAATTTTATTTATATTGTTATATTGTGTCCGTTATATTATATGTATTCTTATATAGAGTAAAAAAATAAAATAAATAAATTCCTCTCCAGGAGTTGGCCCATGGTAATAAAAGAACAACAACAACCTGTTTCTTTCCTCTTTATCGTCTGAGAAACATTCGAAACTTTAACAAAAAAAAAAAAAAAAACAAACAAACAAGAAACACTTCATAAAAAAAAAAAGAAGTTTACTCGCCCCCGCATTTCTTAATTTTTTCTTTGCCCCGAGCGAGCGAGACACCATTTATTATTAATTGTCTAAAGATAAACCACAAGAGAATTAATTGTCTCTCCCACTAGAGAGTTCAAACCCTACGACTTCCAAGTTTTCTTCATATTACACACACAGACTTTTTAATTATCAATATTTCCTTTGCACCATCACCTCATTGACTCCCACGAAATGTCGATATTACGCAAGATAAAAGTTGCTCTCTGTTGTTCGCGTAGCGGTTACATGTTTGAGGAGGACGACGACGACACCACGTCCATCGCCGACTCCTTCAACGAACGACAGGAGACTTCGGAGAAACCTTTGTTATGCGACTACGACAAGATCGACGTGGCGCCGAGTCAAACATACCAACCGGTCATCGTGAAGTCAGTGCTGAAAAGAAGCAACACCTTGACGTCCGTGACAAAAAGTAGGAGGAGATACAACGTCCTACTGTTCGGTGACAACTTGACTGCCGGTAAGTTTCACTCGCCATTTTCTCCTTGCACACTCACCGAGACAATAGATGGATGGTTGGTGGCGGTGACGCGAATTGTTATGGGCGTGATGTAGTCGGGGAATACCGGTTTGAAAGTTGCTTGTCAATTGGATCGGGCTTGGTGGTTTGCGGTGGTACTTTTATCGATGTGGTGAATTGATCACGGCGTGGGGTTTCTACTCCGTACTTAGGGTCAATTGAGATTTGTAATGTGACAGTTGCATGATTATAGTATGAAAATGTTATGATTGATGGGCGCAAGGTTTGAGGGGGAGTTGAGTTGAATTAGATGGTCGGGCTCATCGCACATGAGGATTGACACATCTGGATTTACACATGAATCTTGTCCTAAATGGTTATCATCAGGATTTTATTACCAATATTGACACGACCTCATCCTTTTTTTTTTTTTTTTTTTTTTCCTTATTTATAAACAGGTTGGGTGAAGAATGCTGACGGTTACGGTACGTATCATCCCTACGGTCTAAAAGTTCAAAAGAGGTTCGAGGAGGAGGGTCTAGATGTGGAGGTAGGTTTCGAATTCGAATGTGAAGTCGAATTCATCATCATTCCCTCGCTTCTCCTGACACGCGTGAATTCTTAAATTGTAGGTGACAGTGAGCGGTGTTCCCGGTGAATGCGTCGTTCATTCGATGGAAGAACGATTAAAAAATGAATTGAATCAACCAGGAAAATGGTACGACTGGATCGTAATCTTAGGAGGTATGAACCATCTTTCATTTCGTTCTTTCGACCGAGCTTATTTTATTCCCTTCGTGGGCAGTTTACCAATTGTTCGCTCTCTCTCTCTCTCTCTTGTCAAACAGGTACGAACGACGTAGTCAATGGATTTTCTGCTTGGGATATCTTCGATGGCCTGAAAAAACTATACATGCTGTCCTTCAAGCATGGTGCTCGGGTTCTGGGAGTTACCATTCCAGAATTTGATTGGGTAACTATTAATCACCACGATCATGCTTTACGCGCTTGACGCTATTCTCTTTTGCTAAAGATTTATCGCCCTTCGCCCTCAGGATCTTGTAAATAAAAATGACTACCAACGACGCATAGTGAACGAGCACCTAAAGTAAGTCACCTACCTCACCTCCGGTATGAGTTCCGTTCTTTGCAGATGATTGACCTTTTTTTATCCCCGATACCTCTAGTGTATTCAAAACCAGTACCACCAGGAATGCGTACACCTTATTCCATCTTGACAAATTCTTCCCCATGCATTCGCTAACGACAGAACAACGTAAAATTTTTTGGGATCACGATGGAATTCATCCTACTGAGGATGGTTACGAACTAATGGGAGACATGGTAAAGCATCTCACCTTCCTTTCATCCGTTTACTCGCATTTCATGATTGATGTTCACGTGAAAATTACCCGACAGGTATTCGACATACTCTTCAAGGAAGGATCATGGGATTAACCGACATTTCTTGTTCCGAAATGCTCACCACATAGACCTTTATATATCACCACTCCCACTTCCATCAAAACAAAACAAAAAAAAACCGACCAAAAAAAATCCCCCAAAAACTATATATATATATATCAAAAACAAAAAAAAAAAAACAAAACAAAAAAACAAAAACAAAAAAAAACAAAAAAAAAAAAAATATTAAACGAAAGACAAAATGTATACTTGATCCTTCAGGCAGGTTTCTTACTTCATCGAGCTGTTCATCACCCAAAAAATTTTATTACTATTACACGTTGTCTCTCCCACTCCTCCCTTAAGAAGAAAAATGATTTGATTTGATATCGAATCTGAGGGAGTTCTCTTCCACCTCCTTTCACAACATTCTTTCTGAGAAGGAATTTTGATTTCCACAACAGAAATAGATTCTTTGGTTTTATATTTATAGTTGTATATTAGGGCATTTTGTGTTTGTGGCATCAAAAATTTTTTTGAAAATTTTATTCTTTATCCTTCACACGCAATTCCAGCTCATACACATAGACCGGAATACATCTCTTCTTCCTCATTTTGGTAGACGAAAGGGGAATCAAGGATGCGCCGGGAGGTTTTGAAGAAACGTTCTAGGTTTGAGAATCCTCCTGCATTCTTCTTTTCGAATATCAAAAGTTAATCAATATACATACACCTACATTTATATACATTCCTCCCTTAGACTCACGAGGCATACAAGATATATATATATGTGTGTCCTTGTTAATATATAATTTTTTTTTTCATAAAACCCTTCGACTCTTTTCAATTTCCTTGTTCTTTCTTCACCCTCCTGTATTCAATGACCATTTCCACTCGCGTTGCTCAAAGGAAAAAAAAAAAAGAAAAGAAGTTTGCTATTAAAGAAAAACTTGTACATTGTTTTCCTTTTCCGAAAAGATTTATTCCTTGTAAATATACAAATACATTCTGTCATTTCTCAACAAAAAAAAAAATTTTTTTAATGTCAAGCAGAATTTTTTTTTTTTTCGACTACCAACTTTGTGATTCTCATAGGTAAAGGTTTTTCGTAAAGAGGAAAATTTAAGTACTGACCATGAACGCAACTGCTCTAAAAAAAAAAAAAACAAAAAAAAACAAAGGACCCGAAAAGGAATAGAGAAAGAAACTTCCTTCAGTTCCTCCTAATTACATGTCATCATGAAAAAGACATGAGCGAGTATGGATGATAGGAGGGTGAAACTTGGAAGAGTTTCCCCAACGTCCTGATACCGAGGCGATCGAGAATCCCTCGTCAACCTACACGCATATATATTCCTCAGAAGAATCGTCTGATGGTATGCCCGCGGTCGCAACGAACCTAACCACGCGGACCGGCAAGCAAAGAAAAAAAAAGCGCATCGTTTTTTTTTTGCACCAGACACTTTTTAACAAACATCCCCTTTTCTTGTACATATTTTTTTCTTTTTCGGATTGAGATGCCAAAGAACATCGGCACAAGAAATTGTTCTTTGATTTGGCCCCACTCGCGTCCCTTATCTGAAAAACCCTTTTTTGTATTATATCATTGATCACCTTTAATATGTATATATGCCTTTTTTATTTTTGTTTTTGTTCGTTTTTTTCTCTTCGGAATTCTCGTTTATCGAAGAGAGTTAACAATCAAAACAAATTTTCGCGACTTTACTTCGTTATCAATCACCAACATCACCCTTCTATAAGAATCCGAATTAACATCACTATGGTTTCTCTTTTTATCTAAGCATCCCCCTTTTGTACCGTCCAAGAAAAGAAAAAAAAAAGGGCGCGTGATCCGCTGTCGTTTAAACGACCTTTTGCAGTATATCCTCCTAACCTTTCAGCCTGTCACCTGGCTTCACGGTGATAGCAAAGACGATGGACACGCACCTTTTTTTTTTTCTTTTCCTCTTTACTTTGGTTATATACACGAAAATTTACCACATACCAAAAATCGAACTTTTCGCCCGATTTCATATCTCGTTTTTTTTCCCTTTTCTTACAGAACCTGGTCATAACGTTACAATACCTTCGAAAAACATTTTCTGGCAAAATCTCGTTTTTTTTTTTTTTTCACCTTCTGGCACCGTTTCTAGCTACCTGTACGACGAAATTTTGAAAGCCTCTTCTTTTTTGCGTTATTGGCAAAGACGTGAACAGAAAAAAAAGCTTTTCAAATTTCGTCTCTTGTATTCTGTGTTACCTTCCAGATACGTTACTTGTTCTTCCCGAGGTAGCTGGATTTGATAATCGTCTTTTTTTCCTTATTTCTTTTTTGATCCTTGGCAAATTCTGAATTTTATTTATTTAATAAAAAAAAAAAAAAAAAATTAAATTAAATTAAAAAAAAAATGAGTTGAAATATTGCTATGAAAAAAAAAAAAGGATCATGGATGTGTTAGTGTGTGTGTGCGAGCACCGTTTTCTATTAGGAAAGAAAAAAATTCATAATAATGCAAATGCGAAACGCATGTGGTGACATCGGTAGTGGACCAAAAAAAAAAAAAAACTGGGGAATAATGAATGCAACGTTTTTTAGCTTTCTGCGAAAAAAAATTTTTTGAATTGTTGAGTAGGTGAGATGATGTGTGAAAAGGACCAAAAAGATTTCTAGAGTATAGCAAAATGAGAGAATTGAAATTGCTAATGTGGTAAAGTAACACGCAAGGCGATAAGTGTAATTGTGTAAAAATCGGATGCAATGAATGAAGGAAGTAAGAGGAAGTCCGACGATGATTGTTAACAATGGGATGAATTTACAATGATTGTTTCGGTACTAACTATTTTCAACTGCCTGCAGACTAATGTTTTGTGTTTTCCTGATAATTGGTCGTTTTGACCGGTTGATCGTTTGACAGATGCGTCACCTTCCAAAAAAAAAACAAATATAGGGAGTATAGCATAAGTGGGAACGATAAGGGGTTTTTGTTTTTTTTTTTTTTTATTGATTCATATGAAAACCTCCAAGGGGAAATGACGCATTCGCATAATCTTAATTGCAACGGCATCGGCTAGAAAATGTACTTTTACGAATCAGTTAATATAAGGATGTTAAATGCAACTCCTTTTTTGGTTGGTCACATCTATCGCGGTTCGAGAAGAGATGGGATTAATGGAGAATAATCGAGCTGCTAGGTGGAAGTGGTGAGCAGATTGCATGTGTTCCGATGAAAAGATTTTCATCATTACAGTAAACCACTTTTCATAATCATCGAAAACATCAGAAAAGAACTTCTTTGAATCTTCAAATCACGGTCTCCTTTGCCTAGGCAAAATTTTGCCGAGGTGTTAATGACATCAATGAGTATTTAATCGAGGTTTATAGTTTGCACTGAAATCCTTATTATCGACAATGGCAATGGCTGTAACCATTGATTAATATCAAAGAAATAAATCAATCAAGAAATATCGGTGGAATAATCGATAACATCATTGATGCAAGGATTAAAATAGCATTGAATCAAAGCTTTTACAGTATCTTGACAAAACCAATCTCGCCTACTTTTTCGAATACTTTATGACCTACTTACTCTAAAGCCATACTTTAACTTTTGCTTTTGCCATTTGAACTTGAGTATTCTTGATCTCGAAAAAAATATAAAAATAAATTCCTTCTTTTAAATTTTCAATGGTAAGAAATGAATTTTTTAAAAATCCTTTGTCAGGTTAGTTGCATATGCTTCATTAAACATTTGCAAACTATGTATTGCCAAAGCTACAGCAATTCTCAAACTACAGTAATTTATCTATCTTAGTTTGAACAACTCTAGGTACAACTTTGAAAGTAATTTATTACTTTTTAGATTCTCTTTTTATGATTTGTTATTGTAAATTATATTAAAAAACAATAGATTGCTAAACCAATATATTGAAGAAAGAAAATAATAATAATAATAATAATTTAAAGTTTCTTTTAAAGTGTCTTATTCAAGTAAACAATATCTTTTTAAAAGATCTAGTATTTGCTTATTTGAGATATTCTCTAGATTAATAATATTTGAGAAACTTAAGGAGACTTTAAAATAATAATTTTAATTTTAAATTTGAATTCAATTAATTTACAGATTTAATTTACAGTAATCAGATCAAGTTAAATTTTAAATTTTTTGAATTGCTTATAATTAGATCAGTTTCAATTTTCAAGTTTTAAAATCCAATCAAATTGAATTTCAGATTTTAAAACCAATTAGATAAGATTGGTTTTTAAATTTTAAAATGCATAATTCGGTTTTCAAATTTTAAAGTTAATAGAAACTTGAAAATTTAACTATTTTAATTTTTATATTTAAATAAAGACATTTAAGATAAAAATTTTTTACCTCTCTGTTAAGCTAATTATGTGTACTTTATTTAACAATTGTGGATTATACAGTACATTAATATGTGATA